TCAAGACCACTTGGAACATGAATCATCGGCACCATGTGCAGCGGGGACTAAGTAAACCTAGCCACCGCTCAAACCTTCCTGTTTAACCAATCATAACGTGATATTAAAAGTATGCAAGGGAATTTCTAGCCATAAATTGCCCGGACTTGAGGCTGTTCTCCGCCTCTCCCCTTGCGCCGTTGTGACCGAACACCATCATCAGACTCTACCATCGTCTTTACTTTCCCACATAAAATTCTCTCCTGTAACTTTTCTTCTTTTATAAAAGTGGTACTCCATGATTCGTTTTCTTATGTTAATATGCCAAACCGGGATATTCCATATAGTAGCACAAAGCCTGATTATTATTGAGATCCCTAAGGACCTTTATCCCACAGGTCTACGATCAGACACGCGTATTGTAAGCCAACTACCTTCGATTTCAGCCGCATCAATCGAGCTTCTATCCGAGTTTACTGCCCCTTAGTTTCTTGTGTGTCAACCCCTAAATTTTGTGGCACCCCCCTTCCGCGACCATCTTCACGCCCTCAGATATAGTCAAAGTTGGTTTGATTTAGCTTTGGAACCTAGCAAAACTGTCCTGTGAATCAACTGCATCAGTGGCCTTAGATTGTAGCCCAGAAAATTTACCGTGTAGGGAATGTTTGGTTTAATATGAATAAATGTGATGGAAAGAGTACATACATAGCTTATAGGGGAAATCTACTATCATTCGGCTTAAATAAGAATAGAATCTTTGGAGGCAATTTAGAAGAACCAACACAAGGTTGTTTCCAGTAATTTGTGATCCTAGAAACTGAAAATAATTTTTTCAACTGGCTCTTGCCGTAAAAGGGACATAGTTTAAAGCAGTCTGTCCGAAATCCTCTGCTGTATTAGCCTTGATAATTCCTAGCGTCGGAACATGGACTTGGAGCATTCCCAGATGTCCCATCAGCACCACAAGTATACGACCATACATGGGATTGCTATAAGTACCATATCAAAGGGCTTCGGACAAGGTGTGTTCAGCTAAGTCGCCATGATAACACATCAAAGTTGCGAAAATCAAATCAAACGATCTGAATACAGCTAGAGGATTGTGACCAGAGGCCACGATACCTTGGCCTTCATATCTAAAAATAATTGTGTCAAAATACGAGCGGGCAAACGAAAGACGCAGGCCAAACTCACCCCCAAGAAAATATTCCTAGAAGCATCGAAGCCAGCTGCATATAGTCTGGCTGTATAAGGAGTTCGGCGGTTTATGTGAATACGGCAAGCAAATCGAGATACTGTACTATCCTGCGCCGTGGTCGCATGTTGGGTGGCCCCAAGGCCTGGATCATTCGGTGGACCGCTAGTGGCCAACAAAATGTAGGGCTGGCTACTGCATGTACTGGGACTATTGATATCGGTAGGCGCAACAGTACTCATTGAAGCAGTACGCCAGTTGGCTGATCCTGCACCATTTGCTGCAGAGGTGCCAAGTGAGATGGTGGCGGTAGTCATAGGCAAAGCAGCGGTTGTCGAGGTACCGGTAGTTTGGGGCAAAATGTCTCCAATGGCTCGAGGTTGGCTGGTGGATGGCCATGGCTTTTCGGCTGAACGATTAGCAAGAAGAGCAGCTGCGGAATCAGCATCAAGCAGGAAATCGGGACGCTCAGGTGGCTCAGAGACAACAAAGTCGATATGTTCATCAGTACTGCGGCCAATCTTAGGCCATGTGGAGAAATTTAGTAAAAAATAGCTGCTATACTGATGGCAAAATAATAAGTAAAGGAGGAACTAAAAAGAGATAAAAGTGAAAAAGTCAGAAATGGTCTTCAAGCAGGGAACGAAGAGGAGGAATTTTAGAAACAACTTAACAGGCATAAAGTTAGAGAAAATGGTGAATTGAAAAATTCATTGGAATATGTAAAGCTTTAATAATCTATATGCCACTGAAAATATGGAGTTGACTTCGCAATACCACTCATAACGACCTGATAAACAGTTTGTTAAAAAAAACGCACCACTCTTTTTGGGTCAAAATGAGAATAATTAAAACAAGTCGATATGAAAATATAAGATAGCTGTATTTTTCAAAAATATTTTACATTTTTGCTTTTTAAATAAGTTTAATTTGGACTGATTAATCAATTTTAATCTTTTTTGTTAAAATAAAACTCAACACTAGGTATTTAATGATTTGGTGATTCACCTTTCGCTTTATAAAGAGCAATAGCTTGTTTTTAAAAACTTTCAGACAATCTCATTGTCATATCCGTGTTTATTTCTGCCCAAGACGTCTTAATTGCATCTTTAAGTTCGTTGCAAATTATAGGCTTTAATATGCCTATTTGGGATTTTCTAATCCATCATAAGTCCTCAATTGGGTTCATGTCTGGTAATTGAGCAGGCCAAGGCAATACTTCCACATTTCTTTCTCTCAAAAACTCTGATGCCAGCTTTGATGTGTGTTTTGGGTCGTTGTCTTGCTGGAAAATGAACTGATTCAAAAACATTGATGCAGCAGATTCAAGGTTGTCAGAAAGGATGCGCACATATTGAATAGCATCTATTTTATCCTATATAAATTTCAACTTTTCAACTTCATAATATAAAAAAAACATCCATACACCATTGCACTTCCACCTCCATATTCGACAGTTTTTCAATATGCTGAGACAGAAGTCCTGCTCCAGGCTCTCTCCACACAGAGGACTTGCTATCGGAGTAAAACAAGTTGGATTTCGACTCATCACAGAATATGATTATCTATATTTTCTCTATGCCAATAAATAGCCACTTCTGGATCAATTCAAATCGGAGCTTGACATTTTATTGACTCAAAAGTGGTTTCTGAATGGGACGATAGGCAAACATATCCATACTATTAAGTATATTCTTAACAGAAACGTTTCTGTTGAGACAACTGATTGAAGTTTTCTTAGTGATCTTTCAGGATTTTCTCCTTAATTTCCTGTTT